GAGTCCAGCTCAGCCTCACCGTCAAAGTCAGACGGCTGAGCTGGAACTGCAGGAGGAAACAAAGAGATGTGTTAAGATGGAAACACAAAGCAGAGGAGTAAAGTAAAGCTGGGCGAGGACCTGCCAGGAAAATCCACATTTGTTGTTTTGAACAGACAGGTAGATAAAATCCTGTTGGCACATCTATTCACATCATGTGTGAATAGATGTGCCAACAACTCAACGCTTTCATACATGAACAAAAAGTCATCATTTCTGGGTGAAATTATGCCAACAAACCAACACCTGCCATGAACCAGTAAATTCTTAGAAGTGAGAGGTGCAGAGAGGTTTAATAAGCATTTTCCAAACCCTGTAACAATTAGACGCTGTGGGAATAAAAAGCAACTGTGACAGAGACTGTTTGCTGCTGACAGACAGGCCTGAATGAAACACCGCGGGGCTTTTACACGTCGAGTAGGAGGATTGCTCTAAACTGACACACGGTTATTCATTGTTTATGCCATCGGTTTTCCTTTAGGTATGTTACAGGTGTTCAAATCAGACACAGACACACTCAGTAAACAGAATAAGAGAAAGAAAAAAGCTCTCAGGGAGCTGGATCTCTTAGTTGGGCTGCACTGAATGAAGCTCCACTTACCTCCACATGTTTTTGGTGTATTTAGTCAGTTTTAAGTCACAGATGACTGATTCAGTCGTTCTCACCTGGACTACATAACTGGAGCCACACCTGTGAACGTGACTGCGTGCTGTTATACTTACTGGACTGAGCTGTCCTGCATTCAACAGGCTGAGTGAAGACGCCCAAGCCCATCTCCGATCGGGCTGCCAGGGAGAAGATGTACAGCGTGTCTGGCTTCAGACCATCGACTGCATAGGAGCCCGCTGCATCGAAGGTGACGCGGTGCTGTGAAGAGACGAAAGAGCACCAGATCACGAGGGCGAAACTGAAGCCAGGGCCTGATTGGTCGTAATGGAGTCTGCAGACAAAGCCTGGAGCTTCTCGAGGAGGCTGAGCAGCCTT